TATATACTTTGCTTGATTGTGCAGATAAAATCTAAAAATAATAACAATATTTTTCTTAATATAAAATATAAATTAATATTACTTGATAAATTTCTTCGACAATTAAACTCCATATACATACATGAAGAATTATTTCAGTTATTGGTATTAGTAAATTTTTATAACCTGATCGATTTTCATTATAGATATTTAATGGAAAATAATCAACAAGAATAACAAAACTGAATAAACCCAAAAATATAATAAAAAATATCTAAATGAAAATAAAAATTAAATAGGTATAAATACATATTATTCAATACCGTATAATAATAAAATCGTACAATAGGTGCTTTATAAAAATAGTTTATTTTATCTAACCATGAAATATTAGTTTTTCTTTCGTGTTGAACAAATCTTATAAAATTTGAACAAAAAATTAATTAATAAAATAATCACATTTTTTTTTCTTACTCAAGAGAATTATGCATCGTAGTCGATTGATTGATTTTTGAACCATTTTGAATATTTAAAGTAATCTTTTAAAAATTTATTTTAATATATTCATAGATTTTTTTTTAAAATTATTTTTACTAACATTTTTAGGTTTTTCTATATAATCCAAAAAAAAACAAAATATTGGAAGTAGAGGAAGAAATAATGAACATATAAATATCTGAAAAGAAAAATCTATTTTTTATGTTTCATTTGATTTTTTCAATATTTACTTTAAAATTAATAGCTTCTCGTTTATGATTGATATATCCATACCTATAAATTTAATAATGAAGAAAATATTTCTTTATAAAATAAATCTAATAATATTACCATGTATCGTCAAGATGTCTTTGAACACATTTTGATGCAAGAAATGATTTGCATTCAGCATCTTTAGCTAATTCTAATAGAGTAAGATTTTTAAATGCAATATCAGAACGTTGTAAAAGATCAAGAGCGAATTGTTCATCATCATCAAAACAAAGCTTAATAATTGATGCAGCACCAGTATCAAATTGACTAACGAAAAAACGAATCAATATAAGATAATCAATGAAAAATCTATTGAAATTACTCGGCATGTTTATTGTATTGTTTTTGTATATCTGTATCCTTTGGTTTTCTTATTTTTGCTGTGCGTCGATAGATATATGCACCAAATAATAGCGCTAGTGGTATATTCTAATATCAAGATATATATATATTATCATATAATGAAACTATTCTATTGATACTGAAGAAGATTGATTATGTTCAAATCAAATAATTATTTTCGGATCAATATTTTTTCGATCATCAAAAAACATGAGTGACTTGATTAGGGAACTGCAAAGTGATTCCGGCGGGATCGGGACCGGGACGAGATCGGGACTAAAAAAATTTTAAGCGGGACCGGGACTAAAACTTTTTCGTACCGGTCCCAGTCAGCTGTTTTTACCAAGTATTATACTATACATTTTCATGCTGTTTCGATTAAAAATCCGTGAAACGACCGTTTTTTGTTTCCAAATCTGACGAGAGCCTGTTACAGATCACGATACCGTTAACAATAGTCAAATTTTCTTTGTGAATTTAAGAAAAATCTTGAGTTTTGATACCTGTGAAAATGGAAAACTTTAGCTATAATAAAGACCGGGACCGGGACGGGATCGGAACTAAAAAATATTTTTAACCGGGACCAGGGCTAAAAAAAGTCATTTTACAGTTTCCTAGATTTGATCACAAAGTTAATTATAGATGGACACATGAAAAAAGAGAAGTTAAAACAACTCAATCTCATTCACATCGAATCAACCTATACACCCTCAATCCGCACATAAATACTCATCCTCATTCTCACTTCAACATTTGTCGTTACATCCGATACTTATATTGAAATTTATCTTAATCACATACGATTAGAAAAGTTGAGTTTCATTTATAGAAACGTTTTTCTCATTTCAATTGATTCAAATCTTGATTAATTTGATGATCAAAATTACTAATTTTTTTTTGGTGATCAAAACATTTTGTCCTCATTTTTTTTTCACTACTAAATTAACACATTCAAAATATTAGCTGTTTATCGTGAACTTCGAATGAAGTATTCGATTGCCAATGTATTCATAACTTGTTTAGAAGAATTTGATGATATGAGAATTATTTGCATCTATATTTGCACGAAACTATTTGACTTTTAAAACACAAATGTGATTCCAGATTCTTGCTGAAATTTATCGACTCTACATCAGCACATGTTTAGATTTAGTCTGTTCGAAAAATTGATTAAAGTTGAGCTGAAGGAAAACCGATAATCATTCACTAAAATCTACGACGTATCAGTACTTTTGATAGTATCTCATACGAAGTCAATGTATTGTATTAGAATAGTTTCTCAAGAAGTTTACTATCCAGGTGTATAAATCTGGTACTGAATTCGACTGAATCTGATAGGATCCGATCAACCGACGAAAACTTCCAGGTCGAAAAATCGAACGGCAAGATCTTACAAGAATCGTACTTCTGATCTGATAAGACCTGGGATTTCAATTAGTACCCGATACCAACATATGAGATCGGTCAAAGTCCTATGTTGAATCTAGTCGAATTCCGAAAGAAATTGATCAGTTTTATAGAAATTCACATCAAACTACGATCGAATCTGACTGTCGGAATGCATCTTCTGGGTACAAATAACGAGGAAAATATTCAATCGAATTGTAATTTCCTCGATTCAAGGAAAGGTCATACGAAATAAAATAATGTTTTTCGAGAAAATAAGAATATTTCTCGTTATTGAAAGGAGGACCATACGCCACTAATGAAGTGTGAATATGCGTTAGTATTTATACGCGGAAATTTTGCGTCATCTATTGATATTGATCCAGAATATCAGACTATTCATACGTTACGATCATATTTCTGGTTTGTACTGTCATGAAAACTGTTTTTCTCATGGTGGGAATCGAGCGAATAGGATGTTTCCAACACGGGGTCCTATAGTAAAAAAGATTTTCTCGGTAGTAACATTCCAAATAATGGGATGCGTTGATCATGATTTTGTTCTGCGAAGTACTTTTTTACACGTTTGAAATTTCGCGGAACGATTTTTCTGGCTGAAAACTGCTTGAGAAATACTGATTGTCTCTCAAAAGTTTGTCTATATCGATCACTTTCCGTGTATTCATAGCTTACAATCAACCGTCAGGAGCTGAAGGCTCAATAACATGTTTTCTTTCGTATAATTTTGATTCAATCAGGTACTGCTCTGTTAAGATTCAGCTATGTGTTTCAGATATATACTGCACTCTATTCAACAACAAACCAGCATGTTCTACCAACAGAAATTTAACCACAAACTGTAAAATTTTCCGATATCAATCAAGAATCTTCTCAACATGATTCAATATTTAGATTAAAGATTTCAAAAGTCAACTTTGCTTAATTCTGAATAAAAGACTAGTCATTTAGAAGCATAAACTCAAGGAATGTTTGAAATTCAAACTGTTATAATTTGTAGAAAAAATACCTACGGTCAAGAATCGATTAGTTTCACAAGTGGCTAGTAGTGTAAAAGGTGTAAATTTTTTCTAAATGCTAAAATAGCTTTTCTGCACGTGTCTATATCTGAATAGTATAATTGCAAGGGAACACTACTCATTTTAATTCAGATTCTTTCAATAGGACGCAGATTTAAATGATATAAAATAAGGTTTTCAATTAAAATTTGTTCTTGTCTGTATGCAATCCTATATCGAAGTACCGTGGAATATATTGAAATCAACAGTATAAATCTCGGAGTACTTTGAGTAGAGAGTCAATCAAGCGACGACATTTTCTGGTTATAAGTCTTATCGAAAATAATTTCATTCAAGTTAGAAGTTCATTAAAAGTTATATAATGATATCAGATATTGTACTAGAAATCATTAAGATTTTTAAATCGAATTTTCGAAGTCTATGGTAAGTTTTAATGTTACTTTCACGAATTTATTTCATTGATCAGAAAAATGATAATGAAAAAGTTGAGTTATTTTATCAACATTATCGAAAGTTGTGTATGTCAAAATATTGTTACGTTAGTATGGGTTTTTAAAACTATACATGCGTATTAGTCATATACTAACATGAACATAACATTCACATGTGTACCCAACTTTTTTTTAAACGTTGAATACCAGTTTCAATACTAAAAACGTGAATAGTTAACTAGTTGAACATTTCATATTTAGATTGTTAGTTTCGCAATAAGAGTGGTGATTCGATTTGAATGTATCCGATCATCTTCAACGTCAGTATAATCGATTTTATGATAAGGCTTATTTAATTGTGTAAGTCTTACCCAAATTTTGGAACACAGATATATTGCAAGTTCAAATCGATCAAAAAAGACAGCCCATAAAAATAAATCTAATGGAGCACTTTCACCTAGTCGGGTAGAATCGTTTAATTGTTTTGAATCAGTGAGGTTGTTCATATTACCCTGTAACGATATTTTTTTTTTAAATAATAATTAATAAATCGATTTCTTTCATACATCATTCCAATGAAAATAGTCTGAGTAATATCGAAATTTTATGGATTTAATATTTGTTTCTTCATTTTCGATTGATAATTGATTACTAGTCTAATAAAAAAAAAAAGAAAAAGAAAGATATCAAACCATGATAAAAATTTAATTTTCTTCTGATTTTTAAATCAATATACCGATTTTTTATAAAGTCTTTCAAGATCTGCTTTTGTCAAATTTTCAAGTGATATACCCAATTCAATAAGTAATTTAACCCAATCAGTTTGACCATGATAAAGCGCTTCAACAAGAGCACGACGACGATCATCTTCTTTTGACTAAATGAAAATTAATAAAAATACATACATTAAAAAAAAAAAAACATACTGCCCATTTCGATATTGTCGACTCAGTAAGATGATATTTGTCAGCATAATTAAATTTATGCCATACCTTAATAAATTAAAGAAAAAAAAAACATCAAAGATCTTATTTGATTGATTTTCTTTTTTCTAAATTACTATAGCTAATATAAGTTCTCTTGCTAGACTATGTTGTTCATTTGAAGTACCTAAATTTCTTCGAGCTATTTTAAAATAGAAAAAATAAATTGTTTTTACTTGAAAAAGAAATTCTCATTTACCTTTCAATAAAGATTCTAAAAAGACATCTTCAAAATTGCCACGATGTCTTTTACTATCAAAGTCAAAAATTGTTACAAGATGTTTGTACTTATACAATGTGTCACGTAAATCCTTTCTAACTTTATGAAGTCCTTCAATTCGTTCTTCATGCAAACTAAATTAACCAATGAAGATAATTATTATGAAAAAGAATTTTGCATCACAATGAAACTTACATTTTATCCATCTTTTCTTGTAAATTTTCAGGAATGCTAGTTTGTGATCTTGTAGAATGCGCACTACTAACACGGTCCTTATCTATTTCACCATCAGAAAGACAAGCATGTAATTCAGCAACAAGATCAGCAGCACGACCTGAATTCTTTAAAAATTGAACCTCATTAAAAAAGAGAAATTTTTCAATTTCTTTTTCTATACTTTAATAACTACAACTGGAGTATCGCACTTAAGTGCTTCACATATTGTTTGAATCGCTGATATACCACCTTCAACTAAAACCATGACAATAGGTATGAGTGATTTTACTGCATTGTTTGCTGTATTGGACAGATTAGTAATTCGAGAATGTTTTTCAATTTCAGCTCGCAATCGGAGAACTGTATCAGCAGTTTTTTGTCCATCATCAATTAATAAAAAATGTGTATGATTTGGTTCTAAATAACATTCTCCTGGTTTGTTACTTTTAACATTATAATCTCGAATATAATTTCGATTATCGTTATCCTAAATTTAATTTAAAAGATAAAATACAAAAAATATTTTTCTAAATTTCAAACAATCTCAAAAACAACTTAACCATCGAAATATACTCTACTGCTTGATGTTGAAAACGTTTCGAAAATGAACGTATTGATCTTGTATTCGTTACATTTATAAGAGAACGTGTCCGTTTATTATCAAGTTGTTCATTTTCTGCTATATAACCCCAACTAGCAATACCAATACACGGAATATCAAGTGCATTTTTTCGATTATTATAACGACAATAATTAATAGCTTCACCAACTTTTTCAACAACACCAGCATTTGTTCCAGATGTAATCAACCATGCATCTAATTAATTACAACAATGTATTTGGTATTTATATTAAAATAAAAATATATTACTTGCTCTACTAGCAGCAGAAACTAGACCCATTTGAAAAATTTTTCCAACTTGTTTTGACATACCATCATTCTTTGCTCCACCAGTTATAGATATAATTATGTCTGGTTCTGGTAAATTCCATCCATTGTACATAAATTTCACAATTGTTTCAGCTGTTGTTGCAACACTTAATCGTATGTATTGTGAAAGACGTGTAGTAGTACCAAATTTCTCTCCACTAAATTTTATAAAACCATACACATCAGTTAATTGAGATAGTGTTCTAATAGAAAAAAAGAAACATTTATTTATTTGACTGATGAAAACATTTCCAAACTTACCCGTTATGATCACAAATTTGTAAATTTTCAACTGCCTAAAATATTTTTCAGAAAACTATACATTATTTTCATTATCTCTTTTTGGTCTGTCATTTACCGTTTGAATATTTTTCATTTGTTCCTTATTTGTTTCATCCATTCTTCAATTACTTTTTTTCAATTTATACACAATGCGTTTATGAAAATTACCGATATAAAAGAAATCCAAAATAAATATAAAGTAAAAGAAAAGCTTCTCAGAGCGGTTCCTCTAGAGCTAAAATGTGGAACTTACATATCCTTAGAAGGCAGAATATAACACTAGTTGCTAAGATCTGTAATTCAGGATTTTCTTCGAAAATATATGTGAGTTCCATAAAAAAAAGAACAAAATACGTAAAAATTGAGATAAATAAATGACATTGTTCTCATTCTACAACCCTGGTAAAAAATTCTGAAACACTAAAGAATTGCTTTCCAAAATTTCATGCTACATTCGAATTAAACTCTATATACATGATTAGTATAGTTATTAATTAATGCTATGCAGACACAAAACTTCTTGTTTCAGTATAAACAAATGACAAGAACAAAAAATCTCCAGAGACAAAAAGCTCTTAGGTAGTTCTCGTTCTATTCATTCGTTAACTTTCGTTCGGATACCAATAGTACCATTGAAAAGCTCATAGAACATTGAACATAACTGATATGTTTTTATTCTATAGATTCTAGTAGATAGATGCTGTTCTTATGACAGTCTTCTTCTGGAGAATGAATAGAACGAGAAGTGTCCTAGAACTTTTTGTCCCTAAAGACTTTTTGTTCTTTTTGTTTCTTTATATTGAAACAAGAAGTTTTACGTCTACATAGCATAATACGAAACGTTAATTAATAACTATACTAATCATGTATATAAAGTTTAATTCGAATGTAGTATGAAATTTTGGGAAGTAATTCTTTGGTGTTCCAAAATTTTTTGTCAAGGTCGTAGCTGTAGTTAGAATGGTATAGAATATTGGTGTCTTTGATTTTGTTCAAAAAGTCTTTCCTACCAAAGTTCAATCTTACAAATTTTTGAAAACGCCATTCGATGCACTTTGATGTGCTCTTTCAAATGAGACTACTTTCAAACATTTCTATTACACTGATCCGACTAGCTTAACTTATTCTTGGGATCATGCTTTCTAGAAATGGCATATAACATCAGTCCAAAAATATCAAACGATAAGATACTTTCATTAGCATGAAAAGATAGTCCATGATCCATAGTGTCTATGGTAAAAAAATCTCTTATGTCGCGCTTATCTTTCTTTAAAAAATGAAAATTTGCTGAAAAATATTGCACTGTAAGATACTCCAAATTAAGCTCAGTAGCTATCTCTGTAACATGGATATCTGCTGAATGACTCATCGGTTTGAACTGAAACTTTCAGTGAATTCCTAATTCAGATGTATATATCTACTGTAAAAATACTACCCAAATCGGTGAGATCGATTGAACACGGTTCTGTTGGAGGTGGTCGTGACTTAGATGCAATGCCTCCTAAACGATGAGTGCAAATGTAGAAAAGACTTAGAGTCATATTCATGTTTTATTCTAAATCTGAAATATAATGAATGTAAACATTTTAATTTTAATAGACTCTTACCGTTTGCATGTAAATGGTCATAAATAGAAAGCAAAAAGCTGTGTCATGATACTTTGAAGCAACCTGTCACTTTTTCAGTCTGTAACGGATGATAAATTCTTGCTGAACTAGATTTTATTAGTTCGGAATACTATTTGTTCATGCTTCGCCTATGAAAAAAACTTCGAACAAATCTTTATTACTAACAAAAAAAAAGCAGCTCATTCAGTCCACGTTTAGGAGAGATATTTAAACTTCTTATCGACTATTTATCTGTGGACCACTCTGTATTTTATTTCTTACTTTTCTTTATCACACCAAAAAAAAAGAAAGTAAAAGAAAAAATGCATTAGTTATGTTTTTTTCGTCCTTCGCGCACACCATTATATATACGAATCGTTTCATGTGTCTACCATGGACAAAATTGTCTTCATAACAAAACCGTTTTCAACGACGTGACTTTCATAAGCGCTATTGTAACACTGTCGCCATTGTGAAACACGATCTATAGTCCTTTGGTCTCAAATTCATAATGAAATTTTAGATTTTTTTGTTCTTTCGTATTTTTTCTATGTAATGAAAGGTATGTGTTATGTATTATGGCTATGATCATATAGAGGCTGTGACTCGCTTCAATCAACACTATAGCAGGAACTCTCAGTTAGTAACATATATAAATAATTATTTAATTTATTGTATAACTGTCACTTGTCTCATCTTGATTTTTTCTATTCTATTGTTCAATGTTTATTATGCTTTTATACATCTATTGTGTACTTACAGACAACAGTTATCATTCGCCAATAGTGTTTTACTTAATTCCTGTCAATTGCTCTGTTATGAAAAAAAGATCGACATTGATTCCAATAACGGTAGTGATATTTGTCATTATCATGATGCTCCTCTTAATACTAGTCGCAAGCTGAAGATCGCAGATAAATTATTGCACATGCTCTTGAAATCAAAGTATGGTCATGAAATAATAAAAAAGCCATCGCAAGAACAGTGATGAAATAAAAAATTTTTCATTTTGAATTTCACACTGAAATATTATAGTATTAAAAGGGCAATCACCATGATGACAAATATCACTACTGTTATTGGAACCAATGTCGATCTTTTTTTCATAACAGAACAATTGACAGGAATTAAATAAAACACTATTGGCGAATGATAACTGTTGTCTGTAAGTACACAATAGATGTATAAAAGCATAATAAACATTGAACAATAGAATAGAAAAAATCAAGATGAGACAAGTGACAGTTATACAATAAATTAAATAATTATTTATATATGTTACTAACTGACAGTTCCTGCAATAGTGTTGATTGAAATGAGTCACAGCCTCTATACGATCATAGCCATAATACATAATACATACCTTTTATTACATAGAAAAAATACGAAAGAACAAAAAAATACCAAAACTAAAAAAATCTAAAATTTCATTATGAATTTGAGATCAAAGGATTATAATAGGCGTTTTGAAGTGTATGGAGGCAGAAATTTGAACTTGAGGGTGTGGGTGGGTGTGGGTGTGGGTGTGGGG